AAATATAATTTTATATTTAAATATAATATATATATATATATATATATATATAATTTATTATTAAAATTAGTATTTTAACTTGTCCAATACATATGTTAAATTAAATGTTTATTATATATAACTAAAATTTAAAATTAATTATGTATATAAATAAATATTAAGTTTGAATATATTATATTTAAAATATGTGTAACATTGTACATATTTGTTAATTATTGTTATTTTATGAGTAATTATAGGTTGTGGTAATTTGTTATTTTTATATTGAGAAACTCTAATTAAGGATTTTCTTATGAGTTTTTAGTTGTTTAGAGAATTTCTTTGGATAGAGATTTAGTTTGACTTGAGGAGAGAGTATATAAGATTTCTTTTAAGATTTGAGTTTCATAAGTTCACTTCTTAATAACCTTAAAGAGATAAACTTTAGAAAGAGATAAATTATGAAGCTCTCTTCTTCTCCCCCCAACTTCTTGAGAGTTGTAAAAGTTTGTCGATGAGTAGTAGAGTGGTGAATTGAAACCTATAACTGAGAATCACCATTGTAGTTGTGTAGTTATGTAGCTAGCTCAAAGTTCATTATTTATTCTCCTTCTTCCTTGTTTCTCTATGTCCGAGATAAGGGAAGTTAGAACTATTATCTTTGTTGAATTGTGGAGTTGCATGTTGTGTACTTCTCAATTAATCCGTGGTTGTTCGATGTTTGAAAAAAAATGGTTATATGTTGAGTTTTTGGAGCATTTTGATGTGAACTTGATAATTCTAGTTAATTGTCGAATGTATATTGTATTTCTGGTTGGGATTGAGATATTTATGATGAGTAGATGTAGTTTCTATCATTACATGTTGATATCTTATGATTTTCATGTGGTTTTGAGCTAAATTCGCGATTTTGTTATGTGCATATTTCACCATCATGTTGGGCACACCTTTATGGCACTTGGCGTGACTTAAACCAGAGGCCCCCTATCTTGCTCACATCAGGCCCAAGCTTGGTGGTGTTGAGCACAAGGACGGAGAATTGTCTCTAACTTGGTCATGTTAGACTTTAAGTTGAATGACACTATACATGAGGAAAGAGAATTGTCTTTACTTGAATTGACATCAAGTGCTAATGGAGTGACATTGAATATGAGTCAGGTAGAGGCTTTCTACCCAAAATAGGGTTGCGCGTGGACTTTACCATGCCAAGCGTGAGAGTCTAGGAGTTCCCCACCTCATCTATGTAGTCATGGACTGCATGGCTCCAGACGTGGACGAGGCTAAGAGCTTCCTATCTCAATGGTGTTGAGTGTAAGGCGAATGACGTCAGGTGTGGACTTCCTTGTGAACACTTGTTTGAATGATTAACTAATGAACATGAATAAGTTAGTTAAATCTATTACATGTTGTATGATGATTAAGTTGTGTTATATATTATATGTTGATGTATGATGCTGAATCTTTATACATTGATCTAAGATAATGTGTATTGATGATTTAATTGTTAAAAATTGAGTTGAGTTATAAATTGCTCAGTTGAGTAGTTATATTAAGAATGTTTAAGGCATGTTGTTGGAGTTGTGTTGATCGACTTAGGAATAGAGGAGAGCTTGTTTAAAATTTGAATATCCCATTGTGAGGATATTGTTATGGTACTCTATGAGTCTAGTTATTGAAACCCTTTTTGAAAAATTGACCCTTGGAGCAAATTGTTGAATCTCCTCTAGGACTTTAGTTAATGTGATATGAAGGAAAGGTTGAGGCCTACCGACTACAAGAGGCTAATGTTGATCCATATGTGGGTAAGGTTGAGACATATATATATATAAAAGCCAACAAATTAAAGAAAGGTACAAAGTTAGGGACCAAAATCCCTAACCAATTACTAGAAATGCGTAATATTTGGAGGGTAGTCGACGAACTAATTTCATAGAGAACTTTGTTATATAAGCTAATGTCGTGGTAGATTCACACTAAAATTATTCTATCCTGACAAGAATATTAAGCTCCCTAGTTTAAGTGGCAAAATCCAAGAAATCATATTGTTACGAATTTTATCCAAATTGGTCATTGATCTAGTTGGATTGAAAAGATTGCATTGTTGTTAGTTCGATAAGATTAAACCACTTAGACTACTCACATGTGTTGTAGGAGATCTCCTAGTTGAAGTGTGTGACGACCCATATAATTGATTTGCTGTGCATATGCAGTTGAGTTGTTGTGTTGTGTGATGCATATGCCATGTTATAGTGTTGTTTGAGTTGAATAATAAGTTGATCATGTGATGTGTTGATGTCTATGTTTGTTCACATGCTATTTGAATAATGTTGAGTTGCATTTCTGAAGTGTTATAGTTGAGTATCATATCGTATTGTGTTGACAAATTGCAAATTAATATTATGTTGAAACAAAATAAGGTACTTGTGTTGGTATTGTAATAGTTTTAAGTTCTATGTTGGTTATGTTGATTCTTTTGAACTCTAACTTATTCTTGCACATGTTTACATATAGTTAGACTATAATGAATATATGTGCAGTGGCGGAACTTGGATTAAAAGTTTGGAGGTGCCAAATTATTACTTATATATATATAATTATAAATTAATTTTTTTATTAAATAAAAAAATAGAATTTTTCTTTTTTTTACTCAACTTTTTTTAATTTTATTATAATTAATAATAT